GAACTCAAATCTGCGATCACAAGTCAGTTAGTCGGTGCACTTTGCATAGTCAACAAAGAGAACCATCTCTCTCTCACTTTGCATTAACGTTCATCACTGCTCGCAGGTCTATTAGTTTTACTTTGGAAACACGAGAAAGATATTAAATTGATACTTCTTGACGTCATATCGCACGTGATAACTGATGGACCACTTGAAAGACGAGTCTATAAAAAAAGAAACATCGTTTGCCCAGGACACCAATTTTTCACAATTTCTAGATGCTGAAAAAAACAGAGCAATGCTATTCAGTGTCTCGTCTCGTGTGCCCGAAATGAATGCTCCAAATCTAAGGTCACAAATGAAATTGGCCAAACGAAGGTATTCGCGGAGAAAATGGACACCCTTAAAGAAACCGAAAAGAAAACCTGAAATATAAGTTCGTACATGCAGCTCCGAAGTAAGAGCTCTTCATTTAACTGCCAGTCAGAGGAGAGGACTTCTCTGAGCTGATTAGAAAGTCTTTGGTGCGGGCAGTGAGAGTAGCGTTTGATGTTTGTCATGCTTACTCATAATTTCATCAGTCCTGAGGACATCAATTAAAAGCAGTTCGCCTGGTATGGTGTCATCTATGCTTTTTTACTCATTGAGCTGTTTGTATCGCAATGCATATTCACCGAACGGCGAGACAACTGTATGAACGGATAAAGAAGCACTGACCGGGATAGCCTCGCCGCGACGGAAAAGATGTTACATTGAATTCAATCAACCTTCAGAGTTATTCATCGAGTATCTCTCACTCCTGCGACTCACTACCTCTGCACACCCGAACCACTGTGAAGGTGATCGGATATTTTGTTCAAAAGCGACCAGTCCATGTAATCCAACTACGATGAAAGCGGATCGATCGCACATATTACGCATTACAGCCTGATCGCAGAGCTGTGGTGACCTGGAAGGGTGTGAAGCACTCCCTCATCGTCCATCTTCCAACAAATCACTGCAGCATTTGTTTGACTGAACGTCTATCCACACTGTTAGCAAGTCACTTTTTAATATGATCTCTGCGGGTTAGTAGATGAATCACTGAAAACAGCTGTGCTCCTCTGAACGTGTGTCCACTTTGAGGGAACATTATTTGTGCAGTGAGTTGGTAATCTATGTACAGGGGTCAACTCTCAGCTTCAAAAAGCCAATGAGAAGGTCGGAACGTAAAAGGAACAGCACGTGGCTGCCTGGTAATTGGCGTGATCAGCTGTTATTCGGTAAAGTGCGAACAATCTTCCACCTATCGATCGGAAAGCTCCTTTCCAATAAACCCTCCCCCCCCCAAATTCACTTTAAACTTTTCTGACTCCCGAATTGTTTCGACCTGCCTTGATTTGGTGGACTAAATTATCTAAGGGAAATTACGCATCATCAACGTTGAGTTTCACTTAGGACAACCATTAACCTTGAACTTTCACGCGGTGGGTTTGGTTGTAACCCATCTGAATAAATGGAATGAAGAGAATAACTAAGACATATGAACTAGCATCAGTCGGTGAAACAGTTATGCAGATGTAGCTCAGAAGTCCTGAGTAGTGCGGATGATGGAGTAATAGGCCGAGACTTTCCCTTTTCCTCCGTTCGAACTGAAGTGATGCGGACATAACACCATTCTTCAGCTAATCTACCTGACTGTAACTGATCTTATTACCAAATCCAATATAAAAAATGCTGATGTTCATTTCCGTCGACTTATCTTACAATTCTGCCGGAAAATTAAAGAGCTTATTATTAGGCCCAACAGTGGTCATTAATTTCAAGCTCAGGTTACTTGCTAACCGCAACTTTGTGGAAAAGATGCCCACTGTATCGTTGTCATTTGTCGATGTTTCTTACGCAACAATACTTTTTCTGAAAACGAGTAACCCTTTTTATCAAACAGATCGACTGCACTCTGTTTTGTTCAGTTCTGTGGGCTGAGCCGGGAATGTGCGGGCTAAGGTGTTACTGGTTTTGGTTGCCAGGTCATTGATGACAACCGGCTTATTCACCCAAATTCACCTCAAGAACTTCAACCTCTGACACCGAACAAATATTGTTATTCAAATAGACCCATGACACTCCTAATGAAAAGTACATCGCTCGGATTGCACCGTACACACAAAAATCGTCCCTGGTCGTGGTTACTGTGGTCATCTTTGGTTATTGAGCTATCGTCAATGTAAGAGCAACTACAAACAATTGAACTTTAGCTGCAGTGCGCACGAAACAGTGCGTCACCCTTCCTGCTTGGTTGTCGCACGCAGATAGCATGGCTTCACCGAGCCACAGATTCGACGTCCGTCACAGAGATCGACAAGATGCACGATTGAGGTCTGCCTCATTTCAGCACAGAAAGAGCGTGGGAAGACAGGTGGTCAGTCAGGGAGTAGAAAGAACTTGTGATCAATTGACCCATGAGGTGCGCTGAAAGGAAGATGATCCAACAAACAGCGTTTTTTTCAATTCTGAGTGACAGTTTCTCAGTTTAAAGTGATGATTTCTCAATTCAAAAATATGGTTCCGCAAACCAAAATGATAGTTTCTCAAATCCAACTTAAAATGGTACAGAAATTTGGAGGTAGTACGAAGGTGAGGATAAAGATTCAGGTAGACCCCGTGAGAGTGAACTGATGAAGGAGTCAAAAAGACTCGATGTGTGTGTAGTACTGTTGCGAGGCGATCAGAGCGTTGTCGTTTGATTCAGACTTTTGGCTGGTTGGGCTCACTATTTTGTTTGTTTCCCTCACACTCTCATTTCATTTTCTTGCAATGTCAGGTTCCCGTCCTCTTCTCTGAACTCGGCCAGTAGGCATTGCGTGGTGCAACCCGGCGATGAACGCTTGACTGTCCATACACAACCCTGTTTGGTTCTCCTTCCAGCTCGTTTGCTGGCCTTCCCCAAATGATTTTACTTGCTCATTACCACTGTTGTTTAGAATTGTCTAATGAATTGATTCACTGTCCGTATGTTTTGCTCAACTGATAACGAGTTATTTCCAGGTTTTGTCACACGAATATCCCCCTCCCCCTCCCATACTCGTGTCCGTACACTTCTGAACGTTATACTGACGCTGCTCTGTATAACTTTCTTCAGATGATTTTATTCATCTATCGAAGATTTGGTCACGGAAAAAGATGGACTTTGTCGATAAATTTCCCTTAGGGTTAAGACAGCTTTTTGACAACATTCCGATGAGGCAGTGAGTTTACTCAACAAATCCCGATCTAGGAACGAAAAATGGTGAACAGTCACGTTCCCGCTTACAGTTCATTGATTGTTGCAAATATGTAAATGACCTCTAATGAAGTTTGTTTCTGCTAAGTAACTCGAGAGTTTCCCGACTTATCACATTGTCATGGTGGAATAAGTGAATACCATGTGATAGTTTGAAACTGAGGCTAGGCGAATAAAGCGGGATCTCGAGAATTGGTCCTCCGAATCCGGGACACGCTGTTGAACGATAAATCTGCAGAGTCCACTAGGATTCTACAGACCTTGGAGTAAACGCCAGTGATAAGCGCTATCCAAACCATATCGATTGCAGACATTGGACTGTAAGAAGTATCAAAACGATTCTTTATTTGGATAGCGATCGACAGTGGAGGAAGCAGCGATAAGAAACGGGCAGAGATCGATACAGTCAGGCACCGTTTATAAACCTACAGATTAATGCAAAACCAACACACTGGTAAATCATGTGCCCGAAATTCCGAGGGCTAGGAATCAGAGTGTTGGTGACAAACCACGGGATCTTAGGTGTTAGATCCGATAACGGAAAATGCCTGTGGATGATACGTGGAAGTTGTCTGATCTTAACTCACTGATTTTATGAAATCGGCAGTTAACAAAGTCATGCCGAATTATGGAAATACGCCATACGTGAAACTGTCATTTAGACTCAGTTTGGCGCTCCATCAAGCATTTGAAACTCAAAAAATTGCTGCAGCATTCAGAAGCAAATACAAAAAAGAGAGTTGGTGGACAATCACATTCACATAAGACTTAGCTTGCTTCTTGCACCAGAAGTGACAACTTGGGATGCCTTTTGGTCATATAATAATCCACTTCTTTTGTTAAAACTTTTAAATCTTCTTTGGGGAATTGACAATTTCTTAATCCTTGAAAAGAATAGTTCATATTTTATCTCTATTGCAACTGCATGCGAATTACTCCACCCGGTCATGGCGCAGTGCAATAAACCGGTGTATCATTTGCCCTAATGGGTAAATTCCACTGTCGGTAGTTTATTTTGAACACCTCAAACCCATACAAACGCACCCATCTGGTTATTCTATCTAGTGAGTTCTGTGACATCACGATATGTCTGTTGATATTCTTGGACAATAGTGCAGAACGTTCCTCAAGATATCGGACTACAAGCTTTGATTTCCGTTCACTTAAAGTAGGGTTTGTAAATGATAATTTGGTCCACCCATTGGCGTAGAATAATAGAGAACTCGTTTAGACCATGCGATTGACGCTGATAATTCCGAATGCGCCTCCAATGTTCTGTTCTGTAATTTTTCGTTTTTCGATGTACAAGTGTTCGTTTTTTTCCTTGTTGTGTCCATAGACGAGAGGCAACTACCCAGTCAAAGATTAAAAGTTCATCTGATTCTGTTCTTAACCGTCAATTTTAGTTAAATGCAGGTGTGACTAGGTATTCGATCTGATCAACCACTTCCCTCAGAGGCATTCTGTAAAGTTTTGGCATAATAATCCACCTAACATTGTTGAATACCGTCTACATTTCATTCAAGAATCACCAGCAATACAGCATTTGAGGGAATGAAAGAGTAGTCCCAGATATGCAGTCAGCATCATAAAAACAAGGCTGCTTGCCATTATCCTCTCTCAATATGTGTATGAGAATAATCAGACCACATGGGACCCCATGAAATAAAGCTGGTTACAAAGAAAACGAATGTCACTCCATTCGGGACAATAGCTTGAATTGAAAATGGACAAAAGAGCAAGCAGTGCAATGTTATTATCTTCTACGGCGACGTCTACCACGACGTCGGCTATACATGAACACAGCATAAGTGGCTATCATCATACGGGACACGGCCAAGGCCAAGCCTATCATCAATGCGTAGATGGGAATTTCGGCTAACCATTCAAATAAACGTTCTGGACACGGTTCATTTTGCAAGTTTGCATACCATGGTTCCGGGATGACAGTCTCCAGTCCGTATTCGAATGACCTAACGCGTTGTGCCCTGGTTATCGGGTGTCGTATACGAGCGAAACCGCAAGTGGGACTAATGCGTAAAATGCCTCGACAACAGGAATAAGGTACCCATGGTTCATCTACACTGGAGTCATCTCGTGGTGGATACGGTCCGACTTGTTTCCACTCCTGATGCCATTCATCGACACCGCAACAATCGAAACGAAGATGTATCAAATCCAGCACATTTCGAGCAACTTCCGATTGGTTATATGCTCGAACCAATCGCAAGGTGGCCTCATTCAACAGGGCTAGACCGAACACATTGTTTCTGTACTGAGCCAAAGCAATCATGATGAGAATTTCGCCGGCAAATCCAAGCAAAGCGAACAGAAAGAATATCATTCCCATTGAGCGACGATTTGCTTTTGCACTGCGAATAGCCGCACCAAATGTAACTAGCATCCAGCCGGCTAGGATCACAGAACTGGTCTGTGATAGACGCGTCATCGGTTCACCGAAAAATGACTTCAAAGTGGAGTCGTACATGTAGAGCAGCATGACTACTATGCTCAGTGCGGCGGTGGACAACAAAAGCCATGTGCACAACACAGCCCAGATGCACACTCGAGGCTTTATTTTCATCTCCATTTTCGAGCTGTAATCGTTCTCCCGAACTTAAGTTGGATGCATTATGCTTTTCTAGGTACCGAGAAAATGAAGAAATGAGTAATGCCTCAGGTGATGGAATGTCAGCACCTGATACTCGAACACACCATTACGTCCAATTTTGAATGACAATCAATAGGTCAAGTGACTTAGCTGATTTTTCACGTGATTACAGGAACCAGAATGACTATCTGGTCGCATGGTTTTTATATCATATATTGTGCTACAATTTATTAGTTCAATAACAGTCTGACAAATAGGAAAATTGTCAAATAAATACGTACATAACCCGGTTCATCCTAGGGAGTAAACGAAAGATATAGATCACGTCCAGTTCAGTGTACCTAGGTTGGCACACAATGATGATACAATCAACAATTTGGAATATGAGCTCGAATGACCTCATACCAAAATGCACACATGTTGCATCTGTATCGATAATATATGGAGTAACTATAACGAGTGAGCAGTATTATCAGAACAAATTCAGTGGTCAAATGAAAAATGACCTACGGTGGATTTCGAAGTAGATTCACACAACAAAATAAATACACTTGGAGTGCACGAAATGTAACATCTTCACTGTAATTGGTCTCCAACTACATAGATTTCAATTGCTGACGTGGGAGAGCCGAAACTGGTGCATATGGCACCAGTGTAAACAAATAAAGACTAATTTACCCAACTGTTGTAAGCGTGCAAGACTAAATACTATGTTTTAGGTAGATGGGACTAAACAGAAGACAGCCAAGCCGAATGACCATTAATCAAATGCCTAATGTGACCAACTGAGCAACCGCAAACCCTTAAAGTGTTCCAGTCCCACCGAGTTTTAACCAACGTGGGTGAGGCTTCCCGTTTGGCTTTGACAGTTGCATATGACATCTCTTTGATTCCATATAGGCGCTAATGAAAACACTATAAAAAACCTATTCGTCCGGAGTTTTGCGTTCTTAAAACATGATAAAAACGCTAAGTCATCAAATTATGATATTGTCCAAAATCCGGGTCGGTGAACTAAAACCCTGATTCCAAACCATCCAAGAGGACGTGTAAGCACCACACACACCTTCCTGGTTGTGACAGTGGTCACCGATTGGGCATCGAGGTGCATTGGACACCTTGGACGTTTGACTCCGTCCGAAGGCGTGTGGTCCGATGAACTGGACGCCAATCCCCAATGGACTGCGATTTTCACACACCACCCCGCTGCCTTCCTGGTGAGGCTTTGGCTAACCGAGAATTTCAGTTGTAAACTCCCTAAAAAATACACCTGCTTTGGCCTGGGCAACCCGACAGTATCGAACCCAGATACAAATAATGAAATTTTTTTCACTTCATTGCAGCGTGGTTTATTTGGCACACAAATTGAACTCAGATGTCACATATATACATATACACACACATCTATATGTATATATCAAATGAGAATTCCTCGTGTATATAGTAAATGAAGCGTGAACTGAAACGCGAGGAATCACTGGACAGCTGTTTCGACCTGGTTGGGTCTCATAAGCAGTGCGAATCCATCGACCCAACTGCGTTCTGCCTCTGAGGTCCCGGGTTCGATCCCCAGTTGGGTCGACGGATTTGCACTGCTGATGAGACCCAACCAGGTCGAAACAGCTGCCCAGTGCTTCCCAGCTTGTCAGTTCACGCTTCATTTGCTATACACACGACGAATTCCCATTTTGGAACTGAATCTCCCCGACCCGGTACAGCGAACCCTTCGGATTCCAACTACGATAATGCGCAAATCCGTTAAACGTCAGTTCATCAAAAGTCTGAGGAATGACCACGGAATCACTGTGAGAGAAGTAAGAGGTTCCAACTGAATGGTGTGAATCGGTTATCATACCGATTTACAAGAAAGGTGACAGGTCTTCCTGTGAAAACCACAGAGGAATTAGTTTAATCACTATTGCGTCTAAATTTCTCGCTATTGTAATACTCCGTCGATTGTCTGCCGCACGTGGACGGTGTACGCGTGAGAACCAGGCTGGTTTCAGACCTGGTCGAGGCTGTATTGACCACATCTTCACACTTCGTCAAATTCTAGAACACAGACACTTCTTTCGTAGACCCACCAGTTCTATCTTCCTCGATCTGAAAGCGGCTTTCAATTCAGTCGACCGCTCTAAACTCTGGTGCTACTTCGCTCTAAATGGTGTGCGTGAGAAGTTTATTTGAACATTACAATCCCTCTACAATAATAGCCGAAGCTGAGTCTGAACTTACGGCACTTTTCGCCCGAGTTCACTACAGAAAGTGCTGTTAGACAGGGTTATTCTCTCTCTCTCCGTTTCTATTTAACTTCGTGATAGATTTAATTCTTGAAACAACTCTATCCTCGTGCGAGGATATCGGTATCGATTTACTTCCAGGTGGCAGCTTGGCTGATCTAGAGTATGCAGGCATTGTGCTACTAAGTGAAGATGCAGGCAAGTTTCAAGGTTTTCTGGATAGTCTGAGTGCTAATGTAACCATGTTCGGTATGCGTTTGGCACCTTCAAAGTGTGCAATGTTGCTCGAAGATTGGGTTGGTCCAGCATCCAGTCTCACCCTAACTGGACAACTAGTAGAGGAAGTAGATAAATTTTGCTATCTGGGCAGCTATATCTCACCTGGCGGATACATCACAGATGAAGTGTCGACGCACATACAAAAGGTTCGGTCTGCATTTACTAACTTGAGACATTTGCGGCGCCGTCACGACATCCACCTGTCTGTGAAGGGTCGAGTGTAAGCTACAGCAGTTCAGTCAGTCCTGCTCTACGGTGCAGATACTTGACCACTACGGGAACAGGATAAAAATAGACTATCGGTGTTCTAACACCGCTGTCTACGTAACATTGCACGAGTCTAGTGGGGTAACCGGATGAGCAATGCTGAGGTTAGGCGTAGAGTTTTAGGCATTCGCGGTCG